TATGGGGAAATGGGAAGGGTAGGGGAAAGGGAATAAGGGAAAAGAAAAAAAACATGAGAAAATGAAAAAATAGAAATAAAGTGTTTGTAAATAGGAAGAGGAGGAGGGGGTGAAGGAGGGCAGGGATATGGGGAAAAAATGAGAACCAGGTTCTATCATGTAAAGGTACAAGATCCCAATGATGAATGTAACCGTACTGTATACTTTAAAAGCACCAATAAACTCAATGAGAAGAAGAAAAAAAAAGAAAGCACATGGAAGAAGTAGGGAGATCACTCCTGTATGCCCAAAGTGAAATATTTTCATATGAGAACCTGTTGAATTCTGTATTTTACAACAAAATCAGTAGTTCTATTGGGTTAGGACCACTTACCACAGTATACAGTTCAATTAGGGGAGGAGGAGGTTGGTCAGAATTCTTTGGAAAGAACCTGTATCCTATAGGGTACCTAAAACTGGATAGTAGCTGGTGATCTGTCCCTTGCCCAAAGAAGCTCCTAGTCTCCACGAACTGAAATATTTCATGTTTCAACCTAAAAAACTACTAGAAGGAGACAGGAATTCACAAATAAAAATTAGAAAAGTGAACCTTTAGTTTCTTTAGACCTTTCCTACCGAAGTACAGTTGACCTTCACTGTGCTTGGTTCTGCATCCTCAGATTCAACTTACACAGACTGAAAGTATTTGGGGGGAGGATGTATTTATACTGAATGCAGATTGATTTTTTTTTCTTGTCATTTGTCACTACACTATACATATAATAAAACAGCTATTTACAGAGCATTTACCTTATTTAGGTATTATCATCAAGGGATGATTTAAAATACGTGAGAGGAAATTGTAGGCAATATGCAAATACTATGTCTTTTTATGTAAGAGATTTGAGTTTCTTCAGATTCTGGCCTCCATAGGGTGGGGTGGGTCCTAGACCCAATCTTTCCACAGAAACGAGAGGACAACTGCATATTTCTTCCCTTTTGAACCCCCAAAATCTAAGGCTCAGTATCCCTTGGGTATCTGGGGACAAGTGCGCTGCTACTGAAAAGTTCTGAAGGGGCTCACCTCACTCCAAGCAGCTCTATCTCCCATCTCTGGCCACCAGAGGCTGGCAGTGGGCTACGCAAGTAAATCCGCTGCTTTTGCATGGAACTGAGCCAGGGGTAACATGTTTCTGAGAACTTTAAAACTCAGAAATCCATTTAATACCAAGACATAAGACAGCAAAGCCATGCTGGAAAGTGACACTACATGGGACTAGATGTATCAGACACAAGTGGTAGTGATTACCATGAGGTTTCTTTTGGGGTACTGAAAACGTTCTAAAATTAGACTGTGATGATGAGTTGCACAACTCTGTGGATAAACTGATGAATCAATGAATGGGGAACTTCACGGTATGGAAATTATACATTACTGGACCTAAAAACGTATCTGATACAATCTGTATCCTCAGAGAAGTCAGAAACTTTTGGAACAACAACAGGGGAATTTGTTACTAGCTGCATATTCATTTCATGTCAAATGCAGATACCCTTAGAAGTCAAGATACTTATATTCAAATTACTCACATTTCTGTTTGATCACCAGCAAAGAGAACAAGAAGCCACTCAATTCCTGGCTAAGTAAAAATCAGTTATCCTAGGATGTCCTGCCCTATAGAATCTCTTCATCGCAGACTCTCATCCCCTGCTTTTTCTCTGAACAGTGCAGGTCCTTAGAAGGGCCTTATCTATTTTTAAAATTCTATACTTCCCAGAGACTTATCATTAAAAATTGGCACTCCTAAAGTCGCAGATTGGGTACAGTAAACATGATGGCATAAGGGAAAGAAACACTATGTCTTCTACTTAATTTTCCAAGAAAGTATGAAGACACCTAATCAGAAAAGGGAATCTCATCAGTTCACAAAACTTCTTAAAAGGATGCTGATGGAGACCTCGACCACTGAGCATGGTGGAGTCAAGCCATACAGATAAATCATATTTCTAAAACAATCACTACTACTCCTTATTCCGTCTCTCCCATGTGGGAATAAAACATCTAAAAACTTTAAAGTGAGAAATAGAAAAACTTGGAATTCTTAAGGATCAAATAATAGTTACTGGTAGTTGGGTTTTTTTTTATTATAAACTTTATTACAGCACCATTATTTTACATATGGCCAAAGGCAGGCAGTTAAATGACAAGTCTCAGATTTGACCTAGAAAGGAGAGGATAAACTCATCAAAAAAGGACTTGGAATATTTTTTTTTAAAGCCACCATAAGAGACAGATTAATGATCTAGCAGTAGGGTGGTTACCTGGGATGCCTGGTTGATGTCTGCTGTCCCAGCATAATTACTGACAACCTCCCTATCATTCTCAGTCCTTGATTTGGAGAATGAATGGCATCTCACTCAATGTGAGGACAGGAGACCTACGAGAGGCTGAAGCAGCGCAGCATACATCAGCTCTGCCTTGACACTGCCACTGGATACCGATCAGAGGAAGGCCCAAGAGCCAAAGGTAAGGCACCCTGGCCGGTGCTCACCCGCAGCAGAGAAGGGATTTGCATTTAGTGTACACATATTAGAATCATTTGGGTGACTTCTGAAACACTCAGTCTGACCCCTTCCCTTGGAAATTCTGATATACATGCTTGATGAAGAAAGCCTGGTCTTGTCCACCTGCCTATATTGTGTGGGATGATAGATAAGTAAAAGATCACTGTACTGAGTTCTTGTTAACTTGTCTGGAGTTTCAGACAGTGCAGCAGCCTCAGTTCCCCAACTCCCCTACCTGCCAAGACCTCAAGTCTCAGGTAGAGACCTAGGCCATGTGACACAGTGACTACCTCCTCTGACAGCCCTCCTTGTCCATCCCCTCAATCCTCTCACTGCCAGTACAGTGTCATCCACTTGTGTCATAAGCCTTTCACAGGTCTGCCTGCTTCCATGGATGGTGGTTTTGGTTTGGGGTTCATGGCCATGAGTTATGGATGAGTTATAGATGCGTAAGGGGAAACAGGATGACATTAAACAGGCCTCAAATCTCAGCATGCTCTTTTATAAATGGCTCTTTGCCTCCATACTAAAAAATATCTGGTCTGAGATATGAAACTTCTATTTAGAGAATATTCCTTCATTTATAGCTGAGAATTAAACTGTAAAGTGCCTTCCATCTTATGAGATTTCTGAGGACTCATTTCAAAATAAAACTATTCAGATCGCTAGGTAAAAGTGGTTTAACTCCTAAAGGTGTTTCTTCCAGCAGCTATAAGCCTGAGGCCTCTGATTACCCACGATATTAAAGGTGCGAGGCTCATTTAGGCTCCATGAACTGTGAGAGGGGAAGGCTGGCAACACTGGGGCAGGGGTGCTTGTGTAAATGTTGTCTCTCTATGGTGGTAGCAGCAGCCCTTGGAAAACACTGATAATGCTGGCTCTGTGCCACTGTGGTTCCTTGTACAAATGGATATTATAACGCCAGCCCCTGCCCTGCCTATTAAATGGCAGGTGTTTTTAGCAAAACAATAGGGTCATATCCTTGGCTCGGGGGAATTTACATCAATGAGAAGTGTACTGAATAATTGTTTCTCTCCATTCCATATCTGACTAGTTCTGTAATACCTCTTCATTCTTACTTCTAAATGTGTGTGAAAAAAGGGGGCCAATGTACTCAAATTCAAAGGAATTAGAAAAGCAGTAAAATGGGGTTTTTGATCTCTTGGTGCACGGGATGGATATTCTGTCTAACAGGAACTTGCTATGTCATCCTGCTTTAACATTTAAGAAGCAGTTCAGGATTTCACAGTATTTAAGGGCCCTATCAGTGATGAAATATACTGGGGCCATGTTAGATAAAACAGCATTCTGAATATAGTTTTCTAATGTAGAAAAAAGGGGGCCCCACACTTTCACTGCAACTTGTGATCATCCACTGGAGACCACAGCAGTGCAGCCAGCACATGGAAGCCAGGACAGCTGTCACTTCAGGGTCGAGGTCTGGCTCCTCCTACACACAGCTCTGGCATGTGGCCAAACAGCAAGTTTCACAGAGTACAATAAGTCACGAGTTCCACTCTCCCTTATAAAAAAACTTATGTATTAAAAAAAAAAAAAGTTGTACATGGTCAATCAGGAAGGAAAATTTAAAGCCTACTGGGTGACTATGAATGAATACCGAACTGGAAAACTCATGCTCTGATAGCACCCCCTTAACGAGATCTGACATAGCTCTCTGGCTGCTGCTTTTCAAGGTGTGAGTGCCATTTCACCTTGCTGCAAAAGTAGCCTCTTTGGTTTCTGGTACTACAAAAATAAATGTATTAATTTAAAACCCAGACAGGATGAGTTTTATCTACAATACTAAGCTCACATTCTATCCCAAAACTAGTTTACATATGTTCATTCTCTGACTTTAAGCCCATACTGGAAGAAGTATAGCAAACTGCATAGTCCTTGATTTTCAGGCACTCACCAGTCATAGCTCTGCAGCAAAAAACAATCAATTACAGTTTCCCTGTAGACTTTTATTATTTAATAGTCCCCAACTATTGTTTGAAGAGGCTCACTTCATACTACAATGACAGAGTTAGAAGAATTTACTTGGGAAAGTGGCCCAGTTTGGGGCAAACCCTAGCAGTTTTTCAGCACAACTGAAAGATTAGGAGAAAATACTCCTTTTTTTTTGCACATAACTGAAAATATACAAGAAACCAATGAACAATACAATTTAAGTAAGTCAATTGGTTTGTGAATGGTTTCTCCAGAAAGCTGTTAAAAATGTTTTGACTTTATCAGAAAAATTAAAAAAAGAAATTGCAAAAGAGAGAAAGCAATGTTTCTATTTTGCAGCATAAGCCGCAACACTGATGTCATTCGAAGAATCCCCTCATTCTTGGAGACTTTTCCAGATTTGCACAGATGCGGTTGCATTTGGCCTTTCCTTTCGGTCATTACATCTACAGAGCTAGGATCAGGAGTGAGGAGCAGGGACCAGTGGAGCTTTGCCAACTCACTTGGAACAGGGGCTGATCACAGTCGGTGTAGGTGGGTAAACCAAGGCCACATTGACTCTCTCGCTGCCATTCTTGGGGCAAATGATCTCTGCCACTCCTTCTGGCCTAGGCTGGCTCAGCAACTCCCCTGCAGGAGAAGAAAGAAAACTGCATTAAGGACATGTGCCCTAAAAACAGGACTGCTTTATATATATAAGAGAAATACAGTGCCTGGGGAAGGACAGGGAGGCAGAGGGGCAGGTAGTGGGCAAACTGAAGGGTCTATAGACAGTGAAGGCAGAGAAGAAAGGTGCAACTAAAAGAGCAGAGTTGCCTGGGCTCCAATGCTTAGATCTCATCTGCATCACCAGGGAGAAGATGCTATGTTTTAGCAGGAAGGCTGGTCCAGCAGACATAGCATCTACCATAGTCCCGCTCACCTTTTTCATAAATAGACTCCAGTGAGGCTGGGCTGGATTTGGGACAGATGGGAATTAGCAGAGCTAGCAGCCTGTCAACAAAGCCCTGCACAAATGATAAGGACAGGCTCAGACTAAAGCTGTTAACAGGGTGAATAGGACTGAGTTGCCCAGCCTTTTCCTGGCAAGGGAATTTCCTGGATAGATGTAAAAGGTTGCCTAGCTGAAGTGCCAACAAGCACTCTCTTATGACGAATGGGCCATTCTAAAAACAGATCTGATCAACTTAATGGATGACCATAATACCGAAATGAAATCGGATACTCTGTGCCCCAATACAGTCTCCAACTAAATCATTAACTCCCTCAGAGCAATAATGACTTCCATTCCTTATCCCTAACCCCCGACCCCCGGCCCACTCACCCCAGCACCCTGTCCTTCTGTTCCAGGGGCTCAGAGCACTGAAGAAACAGCTGCTGGCTGACAATGTTATACATTTTTACCTAGATTGCTCTACTTAAACCCAGAAAGTAAATAAGCCACACCAAGAACATAAAAGGTATGCCAATGGGGGAAGGAATTTCAACCTTTAATTCTTGGTGGTCACCATTTCTATTGCTCATATGAAATCCTAGAGACCCCAAAGGACATGCTAACAAATGATGATAAAACATTCCTTTGCTCAATACACTGTATTTCTAAATGACTCGTCTTTAGCAAGGTTCACGAAGATGGAGCTGCCCACACGCCAGCCCAACTCTAAGAAACTTAAATGTGTATCTCATTTCATCTTCACATGCCCTGATGAGGGTTTGTCCTCATGGTAACACTCAGGGAGGTTAGGGGATGTACCTACACGCAAGAGGTAACAAGTGGTAGAATGTAGAGCTCCTTACTCTTTGCCACCTCCCCAAAGCAGGGACTACTTCACTAAGGCAAAAGTCATCTTTCCTGGAGGAACAATCTAGAACCACTACTGTAGAATAATAAACTTAAGCAATGGCATATTTATATCTTTAGGAAAGGCATGCATTTCCTGGTTGGAACACTTTTACATGATTTTTCATAATATAAACTGAATGTAATTTTAGTTCTTTCACTAGGCTACTATAAACACCAAAATACTGCAAAAGTTAATTTACCACCATTAGCTTATCTGTTGCATCATGGGTGGTAGAACTGTAGTCCAAAACAAGCCAGGGGAAGATCCTTAAATATATAATAAACACTAAAAATGTAAACATTAAATGCTGTCTCAGTGATAAGATGAACCCAAGTAATAGCAAGTTAGAAGCAGACTGAAATCTGGAAGCCCCCCTACTCCAAACAGCACTCAGTGAGGCAGAGCTTCCCGAGTTTTAACCTAACCTACCTGCTCCAAGGCCCACAACTGCTGTGCCTCTTTCAACCAACCGCATCACCATGTATCACAGTGCCAGAACCACACAAGAAAATGCTCTGGGCACCAGGGTCCTGGCCTCCTCTCACCTGGCTCCTCATCTTGTATTTTCAACCTTTACTTTTGGTTCTAAGATCTTCCCCAAGCGGGGAACATGGACTGGCTTCTCTAGTTTCCTGTGAAAACTCTGCAGACTGGAATTTCACACATGCCTCAGTTCCATGTGCTTTAGGCTGCCTAGGTAGCAAGAATAACTAAGGCAGATGCCAAGCCCCTGTCCCTGGCACTGGTCCCTGATATCAGCCTAGCAGAGCTGGCTGCTCTGATGTCGCTTTTGGTGAGCAGATCACTTTACAGAGAAGTAGAAATATTTTGCAGAAGATTAAGCCTAGATTACCAGTTTTTATTAAATCTGTACCCTTCTCACAGAACCAGATCACTCATTCTGTTTGGGTCCTCCCCTCAGCAGTGTGGCCCAAAGCTGGATGTGGTTTGTCTCCCAGTGGTTCATGTGCTGGAGGCCTGGTATCGTGTGTGGAGGTGCTGGGGCCAGTAAGAGGCAGGACCAAGAGGGAGATCCTTAGGCCACATGCAACACCTGTCCACTCTCTGGCTTCCAGTTTTCCAAAATGACATCTTCTCCAACAGTGTTCTTATTACTGCCATTTACCATGAAGTGAGGCAGCCACAGAAGCCCTTGTCAGAGCCTGCATGACGTTGTTTGGACTTTTAGCCTCCAAAATTTTTTTTTTCAATTAAGTTTATCGGTACATTACTGTTACATGATGAATCTATCTTGGTTCTTATTTTTCCCCATTCCCCTGCCCTCCCTTTACCCCCTCCACCCCTCCCTATTTACAAAGACTTTGTTTACAGTTTTTATTTTCTAATATTAATTATACTCCCTTCTTTCCTTTCCCCTACCCCTCCCACTTCCCCTTCTCCTTTAACCCTTTTCTTCCCATTTCACATTGTCACTTATAGCATTTGAACCTCATTTACACTTTTATTTTAGTCATGCAATGCTGACCAAATACCACACAGCATTTGTCATCGAATGGAGAAAAACAGATGCACAGTACCATGCCTTTATCCTGTAATATAATGATAAGTTGAAAACAAACCTGCTTGAATTAACAAAGGGAGAAAAACAACGGTCTCAGTGGCAACTGACATCTAGTGAGCACGTGCTTGATGTCATATATATAGCATCTCACGAAGCATACTAATACTATTAAGTAGTGACAGTTTTGACCCTCGTTATATAGAAGAAACGGGCTCAGAGGAGACTGAGTTTTCCAGGGGTCACAGAAGGAAATAGCTGGGCTGAGAGTTGAACTCAACTCTTAACCATGGTATCACAGTATCCTGTGAGAAGGGTATCTTGGTAATTATTAGAAAACACAAGGAAAATACTAAGCATTATTAATGTTTATGACACTATCATTACAGTGATAAAAAGATTTTTTAAAGCTTATAACAGTATTTCATACAAGTATATAAAAGCACCAAAGTGGTATTAGATTACAAATTATTACATACAAAACATTGTTCCACCACAAATTTTTAAAAATTCAAGTAAAGAAAATTTAGATTCCCTTACACATCTATCATCCCTAGCATAAAGTAAAAAAAAAATAATAATAATTAAAAATCCTACTTAGTGAGACCTATTTTTAAAAGTTATAGATAACATATTAGCAGGCCAGGCATGGTGGTGCACACCTGTAATCCCAGCACTCGGGAGACTGAGGCAGGAGGTTTGCTGCGAGTTTGAGACCAGCCTGGGCTACATAGTGAGTTCCAGGTCAGTCTCAACTATGTAGCAACTATGTAGTAAGACCCTATCTCAAAAAACCAAAAAAAAAAAAAAATATATATATATATGTATATATATATATATACATATATATATATATTTTTTTTTTTTTTTGGTTTTTTGAGATAGGGTCTTACTACATAGTTGCTACATAGTTGAGACTGACCTGGAACTCACTATCCTCAAAGGAAGTTGGCATTTCTTTCTGACAAAAATTATACAATGCTTATAGCGACACTATTTGTAGTAAAAAGAAACCTTAGGAATACAAATGTTTCAAACGCTGATCTCTTTCCTCTATTGGAGATTTCCTGTCCTTGTGCAGGTTCCAGTGCAATCAACCTTTCTGAAGATGCAGAAGTGTAAGCCACTGAGTAGAGCATTACATCTACTGAGACTATTCTACAGTCTCCTGTGCCCACTGAAGTAAGAAAAACTCCTTCATTGCCCAGGCGCCGGGTTTCTGTCATTGCAATGCTTGCCAATTCTTATCAACCCCCCCCATGGAAGAACGGAACATCTAGTTTTATTAAGACTTTTAAAAAATAAATCAATATAAGATAAGTGAAATGAGTCCATTATTTTCTGTGTATCATCAGAATTCTCAAATACTGGGCACATTACACAGATTACTAAAAATATACTATATTGACAGCCCAAACAATAATATAGAAAGTCAAAATATTTTTCAATGTAAATAAAAAGCCATTTCCTGATGTAGAACAATTAATGATAAAAAAGAAATTGTTCTCTCCAGCCTTTTGTTGAACTGCCAGTTTTGATTCTAAATGCTAAGATTTCTGTAAGTAAGTAAATAAATAACCCCAACAACCACAAAAAATAGTCAGACATGCCCTTGAAGCTCCGAGGACGGCCAAGAGTGTAATCTGTAGGCTCCTGGGGTTGCTGGCAATGCCCTTGATCTAAGGTTGCAACTCCGTACCTGTCTTTTGTTAAGTTTTCATGGCCTGTACATCCAATAGCACAGAACAAACCAAATTTCAGCTCTCTTCTTCAGCTTCTTCCTAATGCCCTCCAAAGCAACAAAGTGGTGACAGTTACAGGCAGAAGGAAACAGAGAGATCACGTTTGTGATTATTTCTGTGACTGACTCACACAGTGGCCCAGCCCTGTAGTTCTCACGTCCTCCTGATGAAGGAAGCGATGGGAGCCGGGCGGGGACACACTGGGTACAAGTGACTGGCAACTTTCACTGCTCCTTTCACGGCAGGTGCTCCAACTCCAGTCAACAAGCTCAGCTTTTCCCCTTCTGTCTTGACAGTACTGCTTGCTTGCTAATTATGTGAACCTTTTTTAAATTTTCTTTTGAGGAACATGGAAGGAGAAAGGGATGTATAGATACCTCAAATGTAGCAAAGAAGAGCTCCTTTGGGTCCATGGGGACCTTAGAGGGAAATCACTCAGGTCTATTCTAAATTAGCAAGGTGTGACCTCATGAAGGCTGCAGCTACAAAGGCTACACCACTCCGATCGGGGAGGGTACAGATGGC